AGCACTGATACATGCTACCATGAGGATGATCCTTAAAAACATACACAATGAAAGGATCCAGACACAAAGGTCATGTATCAGAGGATCCCATTTACATGAAATATCCAGTATTGGTAACTTCATTGAGACTGAAAGCACACTGGTGGCGGCTGGGGCTCCAGAAAGGAGAAGAGGGAATAACTGCTGAATGGATATGGTTTATTCTGAAAATGTTTTGGAAATAGATACAGGTGGTGGCTGGGTAACACTGTGAAGGTACTAAATGCCACTAAATTGTTCAGTTGAAAATGGTTAATTTTGTTATGTGAACTCCACCTCAATTAAAAAAAATATATCTATCTTTGAGAGACAAAATTTTAATGAAAAGGGGGTACGGAAAGGGGTCGAAAGTTTAGCAAAGGGGCTAGGAAAGGCTTCACAGAGGAGGAGACACCTGAATGCTGAGCCAAAGGAAGGAAGGAATCCTTTATACAGATGTCTGAGGCCAGCTCATTTAAGCAGAAGGCACAGCAGGTGCCAAGGGCTGCCTCATTTTTGAGGCAGAGGAAAGGCGAGTGTGTCCAAGCAAGTCAGGACGAAGAGTAGGAGGAAAGGAGACAAAGGCAACAAAGAATCATGGGAGGGAAGCAGGGCCTAGGAGGTTATTCTGAGGACTTTGGCTATTAGTGAAAGGGGAGCCAATGTCGGGTTTTAGGAAGACTGAGATGAAGTGACTGAGATTAGATTTTACAAAGGTCGTTGTAGTTACTGAACTGCAATGACCCTGCAGCTATAGAAAGGGCAACAGCATGGCCATCAGGAAGCTACCACATGACCTATAGGAGACTGTCTTTCCATAACTTTCCAGTTTCTCTTTTGTCCTTCAAATATTCTTTCTTATAGCCTCCCTAGTTTCACAGATACAACAACTCTCATGGTTTCTGGATTTTTGAAACGATTTTGATCCTTATAATGTCCTATGCTATCTCCATTCTTTTGAGTTCCCTTTGCCCTGCTTGCTCTGACCTCTGTCTTTAATGTAAGCACTCCTCAAATGTCTGGTGATCCTAGGTAGTCTGCTAATACTAGAGAAACTGTCAGGCCTACAACTGTCTGTGTGAACCTCACTGTGGGGTTTATTTGGCTGGGCTGTTTCACTGAGATGCCTCAACCTGCAGTATCTCAATCCTTCTTCCTGAACTGGTCAATCTGTCCAAAGGAAAATAAGGTGCTTTAATCATGAGTGGGTACACTGAACAACAGCAAAGCTGAGCTCTTTCTGAGGCTCAAAAATCTAATAATTAAGAACAGATATGTCAATGGACTTCTCTACCCCTTACCTATCCAATCCAGTCCACCAACAAGTACTGTCAGTTTAACTCAGGAATAACTTTCTCAAATGTATGTAATCCTATGCATCTCTACCATCATTAGCCTGGACCAACTACAGTCTTTGATTACCTGGAATATTGCAACAGTCTTGTTTACATACTCCTAAGTTTATCCTTCAATATGTATGTTTTCCACAATTAGCCAGAGTGATTTACTTCTCAAAAAGCATACTTAATCCTGTTCCCTTCTTCTTTCTAAACACCTCTGTCCCCACCCTCCCCCTGCCAGATTCTCAAATGCTTCAGCTCTTCTCTTCCACTTTGCTCACACCAGAGTCCCTTCCTCCTCCGCAGCTGTCTGCTCCATGTCCTATGTAGGGAATGCTCTTCTCCTTTCTGGTAGCTCAGTCTTACTGATACCTCAGCACTCATCTTAGACACCAGTTCTTCAAGGAAACATTCCTAATCTGCAAAACTAAGACAAATTCTTACAGCTTTACCAAGCTGTGCTTTGTCACTCACTACTTATCACAGTTTTAATTCTACATGTGTGATTCTTTCATTAATGCCTCCTTCATTAGAAAGCACACCTCCAGGAGAATAAGAGTCATATCTCTATTTGTTCACCACTGTATTCACAGCTCCTGGCATAATGCCAGATACACATGTATGCCTAGTAAATATCTGACAAATGAGTGTGTATATGAAAGAAGACAGCTGCAACTATTATCACCTCCAGTGTAAAGTCACATGAAGAATGCTATTGCTTTCCAAAGGCATTTTACAATGCCAAATTACAGACTGCCTTGAAAATTGTGACCTTAAAACATGCTTTTTTACTTAATCATAATCAGTACAAGTCAGCACATGGAATACATATCCAGACAAACAATATACCAGTTTTACAGAAAAAGACAACATTTATATGAAGCTACTGGGTGAAAATAAAAGCAACATTGTCTGTGTCAGGCGACGGAACATAAGGTGAACAAACCCACCCAAAACAAATTCACCAAAACTCAAAAATAAAAAATAAAAACAGATCCACAGGCAAAATTTCTTGCTGCAGTAAAGAAATATCAAAGAAAGAATGACCAAATAATAGGTCTTTTATTTTTTATTTGGTGAAGACTACATAAATACTATTTTATTCAGAAAAAATTTAAAAGGATAATAAACATTGTCAAGTATTACTCACTTCTTTTACCATTTATGTGATCTTTTAGCTTTCTATTACTTTATGTAAAGGGAAAAACTCTTTGCCTATAACTCTTTCTAAAGATAACATGTCAAGCAATCTAAACTCAATTGTTCTAGAACACACTGAAAAGGAAGAAACCATGCTTTTTAAGAATCTTCAGAATGGGTCATGAAAAAGCATCTTTAGAAGATAAAAATATTGCTGGAACCCAAGTGTGGAAAATTCTTGCAAAGGCTTTATTCATTAAACTAATGAATCTCCTATACTATGTGCCAGACTATATATCAGGTTCAGAAAATACAAAAGTAAGTATCAAAACAATAGCAATTAGTAAAGAGGTCAAGAGTTCTCAATAAGAGATAAGGTACTTCATATATATATGACTTTTAAGATTTATAATAGTTGAGGAACCTAAAATCTTACTATAAAATTCATTATAATCATTTTATGAGTGTGTGTTTCTATAAGGATTATTAGTAGCTTCAGGAATGCAAGTAAATGAAGATAGCCTTGAGAATCTTGTCTGACTCACATGGCATACACTGAGTGTTCTGTCAGGCCTACAACTGGCGGTATAAAAGCAGGGGCTTTTCATGTTTCCATGTACTCCATCTTTCTAATTCAACATTTTTACATGGCTGAGGTCTATGGATAAGAGGATGAATGAGAGGGTCTTTATCCTGGATAAGGCTCCCTGCTGACCACAGGACATGCAAACAGTGGTGTGGGAAGGAGGAACTATGCATAGAGTGACAAATGCAATAGCACAATGGGCCAAGTTCAGTGGGAACAACAAAGAACACCAGGACAGGGGGATAAGAAATGTCTATTTCACAGTTTTACCTATAGAAAGGTCCATGACTCTACCAACATACCTAGCACTAAGACGCTTAAATAAAAAATATCTGAGTATATTTACAGAGCTGAATGGACACTGTTCCTTGTATTAACCTCCTGTGAAATCTCTTCCACTGTTTGACAACAAACTTATTTCTTAAATATCAATCATAAAAATTAATATTTAAAATATCTTAGTCTTAGTATCATTTATATTAGAAACTTCTACAGTTTCCTAGAATTTAATAGTTTGCCTAATGCTAAAGAATAGGGATGGAGATAAAATACTGTCTTGGAAATACATTTCTATATGCAAATTGGAACTGATCTTCTTTTCTAAAAAATTTTTAACACTTGACACAAAAATTAGTCAAATGATGAAATCCTCACTCAGGAATTAGAATTCTATGTTCACATGTTTTCAACTTCTTCCCCTCTACTTAGGAGGGAAATAAACAGTGAAAGCTTTCAGACTACTTGTCACATATCCGATAAGGTCTGTACTTGAAGAGTTGCTTTTTTTTTTATAGCTTTCCCTAGGTAAAAAAAGGTAAGCATGTATCTTGCTCTAAATGTACTAGCTGGACTTTTGCCAGCACAATGGAAGTATATACAGTAATAAATAATGAAATAGATCCACAAAACTTAGCCTTGTCAGTTCAGTTTTTAGTATAATCTTTACTATTCATACTTCCTATAGACACAAACTTACATTAAGTTGAGAATAAGCTAAAAAACATACATGGAATAATCAGGAAAGTGCATAAGAATTTAGAAACTGCAATAAAATTATATATTTTCTCCCTTTAGTTCAACATCTGGCAACTCTATCTAAGCATACCAGAAATGTCTAATGAAGGTAAAGAAATGAAAATGGCAACAATGATGATGACAGGTTGGATTTGCTGGGTATATTGTTTGTCCTGCACACTGCAAATATTTCATCTGTAAACCTGACAATATGATGAGCTCGGTGCTATCATTAATCCCTAATAAAGACACTGGAAAAGAGGCTTTGAGCCATGTTAGGAGTGGCAAGGCTGGAATTCAAATGAAGGCTGTCTGACTCCAAAGCTCTTCACCACTCAACTGTCGAAAAAGAAAGACTACAGGGAAGGCTGGGATTTAGAAATGGTTTAGTAACACAAACATATTCAAGTGCATATAATCTATTTCAATATTGTAACCATGCATTAAATTGTAGGAAATAGTCCATCTTAAAAGAGTACATGACTTTTATACCATTGAACTATTCGTAGATTTTAAAACATTTTCCTAGAAGATAACTAAAATGATTTTATATCATGTAGTTAGATTTTTAAATCCTCTCTGCCAAAGAGCAATTAAAAACTTTTAAGTTCAATTATTTGCACCATTATACCAGTGACATCTGAAAAAAATAAAAAGTCAAAGCTCTAAAATCAGACAAGGTAAAAAGATTATAACTAAATCATGACAGATTTCATTGAAATGATTTCAAAGGTAGAGTAATAGCACCATATGTTCTTTAGCATTAATTTTTTAGATTTTGGAACAATCCACCTGGTAGTGGGAATACATTGGGGTTTGCACAAAGATCCAAACTAAATGGACTTACATTACTTGTTTGCCTGAAGTCATACTTAAAAAAAAAAATCCTGCTACAAGCATACCTTCGCAAAAAATACGGTGAGGTGAGTTTCACTGCCAACAATCCAAATAGGGAATTTTGGAGATTTCAAGTAAGAACCAACCTAGAACAAATACAGCAAAATAAATAAATGAAAATTTTATACTGCCTGTTAAATATTTGCCTAAGAATATTTGAAGCATAACTGAAGCATCCAATTCACATTTAAATAATGAATTGTGCCAGAATGCCTTACCCATAAATGCCAAATGTTGCATGTAACAATGAGTGTTATCAAGACCACCACAGCTAAGCTTACAGCACCTTTACAAGAACAGTCATAAAGATTTAACACAGAGGAGAGTAGTTTAGCCCTAAGAATTGTGCTCAGGTTTTACTAAAGTTCCTATGGAGAATGACCACTTCTAGAATTTCATCTCAAACCCTAAAACTACAAACTTAATGATAATTACTGTATCAGGAGAATATATGAATAAATAAGTAAAGGGGAAATATCTTAAGAACATTCTGTCTTCAAAGAACCTAGGGCAATATAATAATCTCTGTAAGGCAAAAATATTTATTCCAAAACATTTAAGACCATAGAAGAATACTGTCACTTGGCTATTAATGGTAGGAGGTAAGTTGAAAGTTTTACCATATGAAGTCTCTTTAAAATGCATAAGAAGGTATACTTCTAGCCTGCCTGCAAGGTTATATATTTAATCTATAAAAACTATAGTACCAAAAATTTGAGATTTATAATTTGTATGTGACTGTGAAAAAGGAAGCTTAAAATCCAACAAAAAATCGACTTATGAAATCCAGTCAATTCCACATTCTTATGAGGACAAACACTTCAACTTAAAAATAACTAACCTTACCAATCAAATTTGCTGCATCTTCTTTTCCACAGACTCCCCAGAATTGGGTAATGCCAACAGGCTGCTTGCAGCAGAGTCAGGACCAACTGTTTTCCCATCATCAGCCAATTGCCCTGGTATGATGCCCTGCTTTCGACTAACATCACAGCCCTTTAGAATTTATTCTTATCATGAGGAGAAAAGTGGGAAACAGGTGCTCTTGTATTCATAGACACAAAAACTAGTGTCTTTGCCCTGGGATGGGAGGGCTGAGTTGAATGCACTCGTGTCATCGGTGAACAAGAAGAGCAGGAAGGATAGTTTGGGGACAATAAAGAAGAAAAACAACAGAAGGACAAAGGTAAAGCTCTGATCACAGGTCCAGAGTAGAAGGGATTTTAGGACTGTTCAGTCCAAGTCTTTCAATTTTACAGAAGGACAAAGAAATACTAGGATCAGTGCCTTGACTTTGAAGCATAACTGAAGCATCCAATTCACATTTAAATAATGAATTGTGCCAGAATGCCTTACCCATAAATGCCAAATGTTGCATGTAACAATGAGTGTTATCAAGACCACCACAGCTAAGCTTACAGCACCTTTACAAGAACAGTCATAAAGATTTAACACAGAGGAGAGTAGTTTAGCCCTAAGAATTGTGCTCAGGTTTTACTAAAGTTCCTATGGAGAATGACCACTTCTAGAATTTCATCTCAAACCCTAAAACTACAAACTTAATGATAATTACTGTATCAGGAGAATATATGAATAAATAAGTAAAGGGGAAATATCTTAAGAACATTCTGTCTTCAAAGAACCTAGGGCAATATAATAATCTCTGTAAGGCAAAAATATTTATTCCAAAACATTTAAGACCATAGAAGAATACTGTCACTTGGCTATTAATGGTAGGAGGTAAGTTGAAAGTTTTACCATATGAAGTCTCTTTAAAATGCATAAGAAGGTATACTTCTAGCCTGCCTGCAAGGTTATATATTTAATCTATAAAAACTATAGTACCAAAAATTTGAGATTTATAATTTGTATGTGACTGTGAAAAAGGAAGCTTAAAATCCAACAAAAAATCGACTTATGAAATCCAGTCAATTCCACATTCTTATGAGGACAAACACTTCAACTTAAAAATAACTAACCTTACCAATCAAATTTGCTGCATCTTCTTTTCCACAGACTCCCCAGAATTGGGTAATGCCAACAGGCTGCTTGCAGCAGAGTCAGGACCAACTGTTTTCCCATCATCAGCCAATTGCCCTGGTATGATGCCCTGCTTTCGACTAACATCACAGCCCTTTAGAATTTATTCTTATCATGAGGAGAAAAGTGGGAAACAGGTGCTCTTGTATTCATAGACACAAAAACTAGTGTCTTTGCCCTGGGATGGGAGGGCTGAGTTGAATGCACTCGTGTCATCGGTGAACAAGAAGAGCAGGAAGGATAGTTTGGGGACAATAAAGAAGAAAAACAACAGAAGGACAAAGGTAAAGCTCTGATCACAGGTTCAGAGTAGAAGGGATTTTAGGACTGTTCAGTCCAAGTCTTTCAATTTTACAGAAGGACAAAGAAATACTAGGATCAGTGCCTTGACTGAACTCAACAGCTAAGTAGTACAGAATTGGAATTAAAACTCTGGCTTTCAGACTCTTTTATGTGGTGGCTTTCTGTTACATCATGCTGCCTCTTGTGGTGACAGGTTTAAATGTTATTTATCTTTTAGAGAAAGTGTGTATGTAATTAAGGTAGAAGTAAAAAATGAGGATTATTTGCAGTAGGATCAAATGGTAAATGAATACTGAACTCATGAAGTATTTTATAATAATAAAAATAAACTAAGAATGCATAAATAGTGCAACCACTTTAGAAAAGTTTGACAGTTCCTCAAGAAGTTAAGCATATAATTACCACATGACCAAGCAATTTCATTTCTAAGTATACATATACCCAAGAGAAATGAAAACATGTTCACAAAAACCTTATACATAAATGTTCACAGCAGCACTATTCCTAATAGCTAAAAATAAAGACTACCCAAAAGTCCATCAACTGATGAATTAACAGAATTCATATATCACACAACAAGAATATTACCTGATCATAAAAAGAAACAAAGTACTAATACATGTTAAAACAGAAAAACAATGAAAACATGATGTTGAGTGGAAGAAGCCAGACACTAAAGGCCACCTATGGTATGATTCCACTTAGATGAAATATCTAGAGCAGGAAAATCTGGAGACAAAGTTGCCAGGTGCTGGTGGGGAGTGACTGCTCATGGGGTCGGAGAATCTTTCTGGGGTGAGAAAAATATTCTGTGTTCTGTGAAGATATGGAAAAGCACTAAATTACACACCTTAAAATAGGGGGCTTCATGGGATGTGAGTAAATATATCTACTTAAAAATGGCAGTCAACAGCACTCAGAATCACCTTTGCGTGTGTGTGTATATTGTATCATTTGTACCAATGAATACATATGGTCAAACTAATATGAAAACGTTAATTTCATTTCTAAAGGGCACAGTATCAAAAACAGGGTAACGTTCAGATTCACAGAACTAATACAAACACAATTATTTCCTTAATGCCATTTCTCTAAACATTTGGCAAAAAGTAAACATACATAGATTTCCAAAGATCTATCTACATTATATACAGATGAACACCACAGAGCAACACAGTTTTTTAAAAAAATGCTGTCATGACTCAATTCTGAGACCTTGGCTAGAGGCCCGTTAGTTTTCTTTAAAAGACAGCTGATTAAGTCCATACTCTAACCACTTCTCTCTCAGGTCTCTACACTCCAGGCCACTAAGCATGGCCCTAATGGCCCTGGAGCCAGATGCCAGACAAGTAGGGACAGCCCCCGGGGTCCCAGAACTCACTGAAACAATTCCAATGAGCCTGTCCACAGGAAACCCACGCAGTCTAGCTAATTCCATCCCAATTCCTACACTGAACCCCTGCCAGCTGCAGTGTGCTGGTGCCCCTGGGGTACCAGCTGTGGCACTGCCTCGCAGACCTCTGTGGTTTGAAGTTGTAACTAACAGAGTTCTGCTCTTCATCTATCTGAATATCTGTGTACTGTGTTCCGGCAGCAAAAGATTCTTTAAGTCTTATAGAACACCATAGTTTTTGCTAGAATACTAGAGTGATATGTAATAGAATATATAGCAGCTATTGACTTCCCACTAAGATATTGAGGGGCAACAGACATTCCTCTGCTCTACCTAACGGTTAAAGAAAAGCAAAAGCACATATTTAGAAAAGCTTACAGTTCTGGTAAAACTGTCCATTCATTCATTCACTATTTACTGAGTACCTAATATGTACCCAGATAGAAAATGTGTGTCCTCAGAGATTCTATATTCCATTAGGGAGAATAACAGAAAACAAATTCAAGATTAAAAATAAATAAGTAAGAAAAAAAGATTATTACAGAGCGACTATTCCTATGAAATAACATTAACAAGCGTCACTGATGCTTGTTGAGTGGTCAGGGTGTTTGAGGCACCATCTTAAATAGGACCTGCAGTGGGGAGTGAGCCATCCAGCTAAGAGCTAGAGTATTCCAGGCAGAAATGACAGCAAGTGTGAAGGCTTATCAGGCAGGAAAGGGCTTGGTGTGTTTGAGAAACTGACAAGACACCAGCAGAGCTGCAGCACAGTCATGGAGAAAGCAATACAACTCTGGAAGGACAGACAGGATTCAGACCAAGAGGGCCTTACAGGCCATGCAGGGAAGATTTCCAAATACATCATCTCCATACCCTATCCTTTTGTTTGATTCTCTCATCACTAGACTGCCCCAGAACAGCTTTAGTTTTTATAATTAAAGTCACCAAGAATAAGAGTTGCTACTATTTAACAATATGATCACTGCTGATGGAGAAGGGCAGGATGAAACCTATTTGATATTCATACCCATTTCACCCCTAAGTGCTGTCATGAAATAGGAACACTGGGGAAGGGAGGTAGGAAGGGAGGCAGAGAGGGAGGGGAAGAACAGAAATTGAGAGAGGGAGGGAGAGAGAAAGCAAGAGGATGAGAGGCTATTACTGTTACTAAAAATAACCACCAGGAGAAGCACCTTTCTAAAATGGAAAGGAAAATTAGATCTACTTCTTTCTACCAAATCAGAACATCTTATTATGTGTAAACCATTAATGATTTAAACTCCCTTTAAAATTATTTGGAATATCTAGTAGTTATTTCAAATTCCCCAATAAAACAATGAAATAAGTATCAATAAATGAGAGTTTCATGGCAGTTCCTAACACTAGAACATGTGTTAAAAGAGTTTAATGTTGTGAAATGCTTGGAATTTTTTCTTTTTAGTGTGATATCATTTTTCAGATGGAACAGACAAGAGTTGGAATTTCAGGCATTTAGCAAATTATTTTTCTTTGCCTGATAAAATATTACCAGTTGTTTCAGTAAAGCACACTGTTAGTTAGGAAGAAACAATGTATTCTTTCCCTCAGTTTAAAAAAAAAACAAACTCATATTCAATAATAGATGTCTCTATTTTTATAAATTATTTTGTGCCAGATTCAGCCCCCACAACCTCAAAAAAGAACAAACTTCAAAAACAGCTTAGCTCCACCTTTAATAAGCCTGTCTGTTTAGGAAGGGAGATCAAGAAGGAATTGAAGAGTATACAGAAACAGTAGTAGCTAGAATATGTTATCACAGGAGAAAAATACTATCTACAACAGTGGACATGTGAATAAAAACTGTCAAAGTACCTTAAAAAATCAACTTACCTTACAGTATCTTAAAGCTTCCATTAATGTTAAGAATCCTACAGCTGCTTGTTCATGTATACCAAGAAGTTCTGCAAATAGAGTTAGCATTGCTTAATATACATAAATCTGAAAAGTTTTTTTTCCAGAGTGAATTTAGAATGAATCTAAAGAGTATTTTTTTTTCTAGTTAAAAATTATGTCCACTGTAAACACAACGTATATATTATAGTACCCTTTTACCACCTGGTCATAACATCCAGATGGTGTAAGCCAAGAACTGGTAGTTCAATTTTTTGGATTTGTAAATTCAAAGTCAATAGAAGGCACATATACATATAACTTGTATTTTTTCACTAGCTTCTCATACAGAGGAGGTATAGCAATAGTTCTCAGGTCATGGTTTAAGATTCTTAGTAGTCCACAAGAACCTTTTTTACAAACTACACAAATGAAAATAATTTCATAAAAATATGTTATTTTTTTAACTCTTACTCTCTCATGATGTACAGTGGAATTTTCCAGAGACTAAATGAAATGTTATATGCCAACAGATTAAATCTATAAACAGATATGATAATTCAGCTGTTTACTAATAAACTACACATTAAAATGATTTGCAAAACTTTTAAACACGCCTCAACACCCAAAAAGCAAATAACCCTATTAAAAAATGGGCAGAGGATATGAACAGATACTTCTCCACATAAGAAATTCAGATGGCTAACAGGCACATGAAAAGATGCTCCACATCGCTAATTATCAGGGAAATAAAAATTAAAATCACAATGAATTATCATCTCACACCAGTTAGGATGGCCAACATAAAAAAAAGCCTAGAAACAACAAATGCTGGTGAGGATGCAGAGAAAGGGGAACCCTCCTATACTGCTGGTGGGAATGTAAACTATTTTAACCATTATGGAGAGCAGTACAGAGGTTCCTCAAACAACTAAAAATAGAAATGTCATTTGACCCAGGAATTCCACTCCTAGGAATTTACCCTAAGAATGCAATTTCAAAAAGACATATGCACCCCTATGTTTACTGCAGCACTATTTACAATATCCAAGATATGGAAGCAACCTAAGTGTCCATCAGTAGATGAATGGATAAAGAAGAGGTGGTACATATACACAATGGAATATTATTCAGTCATAAGAAGAAAACAAATCATCCCATTTGCAACAACATGGATGGAGCTAGAGGGTATTATGCTCAGTGAAATAAGTCAGGCAGAGAAAGACAAGTACCAAATGATTTCACTCATCTGTGGAGCATAAGAACAAAGCAAAAACTTAAGGAACAAAACAGCAGCAGAGTCACAGAACCCAAGAATGGACTAACAGTTACCAAAGGGAAAGGAACTAGGGAGGGAGACTGGGAAGGGAGGGATAAGGGGAATAAGGGGCATTATGATTAGCACACATAACATAGGTAGGGGCACGGGGAAGGCAGTATAGCATAGAGAAGACAAGTAGTGACTCTGTAACATCTTACTACATTGATGGACAGTGATTGCAATGGGGTATCTGGTGGGGACTTGATAATGGGGGGAATCTAGTAACTACAGTGTTGCTCATGTGATTGTATATTAATGATACCAAAATAAAAGAAAATATTCATAAAAAATTGTGCTAAAATAAATCATTGTAAAATGTAAAAAAAAACCAAAAAGCTTTTAAACAATTTTACTTTTCTTATTAGTATTATTTTTTATTAAAAATATTTATACTAACAAGTAATGGGTTTATTATTGTTATTCTAAAATGAACTAATACATTTTTTAAGTTTCTCAGTCTTAATTTCTAACAAGAAAAATACTAATCATTATTAGCTTGTAACTCATATAAGTGAGAGCTCTTTGGGATTCTTGGTACTTTCTAAGAGTGTAAAGGGCATGAAACCAAAAAATTTGAGATCATTCAAAGGGAGTGCAGATGTGGAGCCCAAACAGCTAGAAATAGAACTATAGCTTGCAAATTTCCCCTCCTCTTTCTTCTGTATTGGAACATCACTACATGTAACATGTTTTCAAGTTCTAAGAGGAATATATATGTTGAAAAATATTTTTACACTCTGATTTCTACAATCGGTTATCACCACCTAGTGTTGCTACAAAATACTACATCATCTATCTCTCTGGAATTTTAAACAAATGTCTAGAATATTGTACTTATAATAATATGCTACTAAACAAAGCAAACAAGCTGTTCATAATTCTTGGGTATCAGGTTTTTAAAATTACTTAGATAAGGTCAGAAACCACCCATGTAGTTTGGATGGTTATATTTTTAAAATGTATTATTCCTATTTCCTTAAACAGAATATATACGAAAATTTTTGTCTTCGTTGGATATCTAAAATGCGTCATTAGGAACATTTATTGTATAAAGTAATTATAGTGAGGATATAATATTCTCACATATAACAACTTACAGAATTTACTCATAGGAGATTTTTCTCAATGAGTCTCAAGTCTATTTACTTTTGCAGAAATTCTTATAACTGTCATTATATTTTAGAATTTAGTATCTAACTTTGTTTTCTTTGCTTGGCATTTAAGATTAATCATAATCAGTCCCTATCAACCCTTGTCTGCTGTAGCGAGAATATACATATGCAGAGTTTTATATTCCTGAGTTTGCTTTCTTTTAGTGTTCTCCATTCAACCACCACTTCTCACTGCTGTCAGGGTGAGGTCCCTTCCTCTTGGGTCCTTTCAAATTTGAAGCTGACTTGGAAACCAGGCAGCCACATTACATTTATTTAACAAACACTCTGAGTGCCAAGTATTGAAAAGAGCAATGCTAAGCACAGTGCAGCAATACAAAGATACCACAGGGATATGAAGACAAGATCCTTCATGCAAACCACATATCTGATAAAGGGTTAATATCCAAACTTTATGAGGAACTCCCACAACTCAGCTACAAAAAGAAAAACACACACACAAAAAAACCAATTAAAAACTGGGCAAAGGACTTAAACAGACATTTCTCCAACAGTATACAAAATGATGCTTGACATCATCAATCATCAGACAGATGTAAATGAAAACCACGAGATACCACCTCACAACTGTTAAGATGGCCATTATTAGAAAAATAAAAGGTATGTGTTGAGGAGGATGTGTGGAAACTGGAACCCTTGTGTACTGTTGGTTGTGAAATGGGTCAGCTGCTATGGCAAATAGTATTGGTGTACCTAAAAAAATTAAAAATAGAACCACCACAAGATCCAATAATTTCACTTCTGGCTAGTCAATCCAGAAGAATAGAAATCAGAACCTCAAAGAGCTATCTGCACTCCCTGCACTCCCAAGCTCACTGCAGCACTATTCACAACAGCCAAGATATTGAAAACAACCTAAGTGTCCTGTAATAAATGAATGTATAAAAAAAGTGTGCTATCTACACATGATGGAATATTATTCAGCCTTTCAAAAGGAAATCCCATCATATATAGCAACATGGATGAATGCTGAGGACATTATGCTAAATAAGTGAAACATGCCAGTCACAAAGGGAGAAATATTGCATGATTCCACATATAGGAGGGATCTAAACTAGTTGAACTCAGAAGCAGAGAGTACAATGGTGGCTTTCAGGACCTGGGAGGAGGAGAAAATGGGGATTTGCTATCCAACTGATAAAAAGTTTTGCTTATGCAAGATAGAATAAGTTGTGGAGATCTGCTGTATAACTTCATACCTATGGCTAATACTGTACCTTAACTTAAAAATTCCTTATGAGGGTACATTTCATGTTAGATCTTATTACCATTAAAAGAATTCATCCTTACTTCTTCCCCCCAAAAATCCAGTGGGTGACAAAGGAGAATGTAGTAAGTGCCATGATAGCAAAATGCTCAGTGACAGGACAGATAACTTTTGGCTGTGACAATGGGGAAGCTCTCCTTGGAAGGGATGGCCTATGAAGTGGGCACTGAAGGACTGGACAGGCAAAGGAATACAGGTTTCCAGGCACAAGGACCAGCATGAAGAAATGAAAGTAAGTAGCATAATTTTGTTCAAGTATACATTCATGATAGCTGAAAAAAAGTTGGGATGAAATTACGTAGGGTCCTTGGTAAAGTAAGGTAAAAAATCTGTAGCTAAAAAATTTAAAAACTGACTTTTTCACAAGAATGTTAGGATAGCTAAAATAGAAAGCACTAAACTAAGAAAAGCTTGGTTATCTCACAGGTATATGCAGTTAGAGCCACAAGCTTTGTGAAATTTATTTTTTGAAAGTAAGGAGCTTTTTAAACCCACTTTATGGCTCTTTACTGTATTTCTAAGAAGTCAGATTGCTAGAGAGTTGGCATCTAGCTGGGGTTGCCAGATTTAGCAAATAAAAACACATGTCCAATTAAATTTAAATTTCAGATTAAAAACTGTATGATTTTTTAGCACAGGTATATTCTAAATAACATATATGACATTACTTTTACTAAAAATGATTCATTGTATATCTGAAATTCAAATTTAACTAGGAGTCATGCACTTTATGTGGCAACTAAGTTCCAGCTAATTGTATGTATAAAGAAATTGTGGTATCTACACAATTTTTCAAGTAATAGCATTAGGGGAAAATAAACATTTCAGATCATTTCTCACATAAATTATGATAAATACTTTTTGAATTTTTATAGCACCTAGTCAATTGCAATTCATATTAATTAAAAAATACTAAAATTTCAAAATGATCTTAATCTTCAGAGTCAGATCTTCTTACTGTTTATATATCATGAATTTAGTAACTTTCAATTGACTGTTTGTTTGCAGCCACGAGGGAATGTGGTATTAACTGCTACTAAAAGAAAAAAAAGGATCAAAGCTCTGCGTTTCTGATTTAAGAGCTGAGTCTATTTCAGTCCCATAAAATGAAGAAAACATTAAAATAAAATAATCATCAAATAAACATACTAAAGTAATAAATGAACAATACACACAAAAACAGGGAGTACACAAATACTGAGGGATACCTTTAAGATAGAAAAGAGACCATGGGAAAACTAATACATAGGAAAATAAAATCAAAGAAAACCTCACCTCAAATATATGCAGTAATACAAAATGAAAGAGATA